TTTACAAAAGGTTCTGTAAATCAGGTCACTAATTTACAAAAGGTTCTGTAAATCAGGTCATGCATTTACAAAATTTCTTACAAAAGGGTCTGTAAAGTCAGGTCACGAATTTACAAAAGGTTCTGAAAGTCAGGTCACTAATTTACAAAAGGTTCTGTAAATCAGGTCACTAATTTACAAAAGGTTCTGTAAATCAGGTCATGCATTTACAAAATTTCTGTAAATCACGCCATGGATTTACAGTTTACAAAAGGTTATGTAAATCACGCCACGGATTTACAATTTACAAAGTTGTTTTTTTCATGATCATTGTTTTTTTGTTGTTTTTTTTTGGGGGGGGAGGGGACAATCTAATACCATTTACATCAGTGTTTGTGTTAGTCTTAAATTTAGTTCAGGTAACAGCTACTTACTTACGATGATTTACGAGTACACAAGAGAGGAGACATACTTTGATCTTATCTCCTTCGTCAGTAGGCTGTAGGAGCTGCAGGAGATCTCTGTGTGTCTTGTTCCGGAGAGCAGTAGGTGGGCGTGAGGTAGGTGGTGATGGTAGTGGTGGTGGTTGTGATAGGTGATAGTTGTGGTGGTAGTGGTTGGTTTGGAGTCGTAGGTAGTGGTGTGTTTGTAGGTGATGATAAATGTTGGTAGTGTTGGTAATGGTGGTAGTGTTGGTAATGGTGGTAGATGGTTGTGGTGGTGGTTGATGGTGGTAGGAGATGATCCCGTCACTCCACACGTTGATGGATCACTCCTCACTAATTTGTCCGCCTTTGAGTACAGAGTCACTCAGTCACTCAAAACGCTGGAGCTAATTTGATTCTTACCATAAGGCGTCTTAAAGGTGATTGTCCCCTGCTAACGACACGGTGGCTTGTTACTATCTTGCCATTATACGGAGGGCATTGTAGGGACGTGTATGGTGATGATGGTGGTGATGGTGATGAGGTTGTGGTTGTGGTGTAGGTTATGGTAGGGTTATGGTGGGGGGGTTGTGGTTATTGTGGTGGGGGTTGTGGTGGTTGTGGTGGAGATTGTGGTGGAGGTAGTGATGATGGTAGGTTAGGCTAAGTTAAACAAGGTTAGGTTAAGTTACAGTGTGTTAAGCTAGGTGAGGTTAATGTTAGGTGTGGTTAATCTTCAGGTGCCAGTAACCATTCTATCACTGAAGGTAAATAAACAACTGTATATACCTCAAAAGCAGGAAATATTCAGAGATGTTTTACCAATATAGAGGTAAAGCCTTCTGAAGACTCGTGGTTCCTCTCGTTAAGCAAAAGATAATGAAATAGTTTCCCATTTTATCTCATCATAGAAAACTTCATATTTCTATTCACAAGCAGAGATCGTAAGTGTGTGTGTGTGTGTGTGTGTCTGGACGTGTGTGGGAGGAGGGTGTGTGTGTGTCTGTGTGTGTGTGTGTGTGTGTGTGTGTGTGTGTGTGTGTGTGTGTGTGTGTGTGTGTGTGTGTGTGTGTGTGTGTGTGTTTTATTCATATTTTTTACTTTCTCGAGGAATATTTGTTAAGTGTGACCTAACTTAACCATGGACCTGGTCTTTCTCACCCTTGTTTGTGTTTACCAGGAGAGATTTTATCAATTATATCTCGTAATCATTTAACTTAGCACCGTTTACCTCTTGTAATGGAAGGGTTAGGGCAATGGTTTTGACCTCTGACCTTTCACACACACACACACACACACACACACACACACACACACTCTCTCTCTCTCTCTCTCTCTCTCTCTCTCTCTCTCTCTCTCTCTCTCTCTGTATCTACTTAATATCTCTCTGTTTGTCCCTGTCTCTCTGTCCTCTTCCTGTCTGTCTATCCTTCCCTTCTCTCTCTGTCTCTCTCCATCTCTCCACCTACCCAGCAGAGTACTGACACTCCATCACGGTGAAGGACATGGTCTCCCTCACACAAGTCCCTATGACATATACACAGCGTCTGCCTCCTCTCAAACTCTGGTCTAGTGTCGTCACCCTTACACGCCCAGACACTTTACCTCTTACTACCTATAATAAGAAACAACGTCACCACGAGCAATCAACAGTGTCTGGCGTTTCCCTTAACCCACACGGTGATATGCAACGCTATGCCAAACGAACGTAAACTTCTGTGCTGGTGGATGATGCGCCAAACGACCATACGCATGATTTCTCGCTTCCTAAAGTTGACATATTGGTGAAAACAACTTCTAAATTTACGCATATACGCTTCACCTTTATCTACAGTGACGAAAATACACCAGACTAACTTACTCTTACCTTCTGTTAACTCCGGCTCTCTCTAGATACGAGTATTTGGGTTAAAATGTTCGCTTTTTTTTTCCCCTCAAGGTTGTCTGGTGTTGAAACTCACTGTTTATGGTCAGAAAAAGATGTTTTTTCTTGTCTCCGTGACGTGAAGTTTAACCCGTGAGTACGATGACATAACCCCTAGAGTACGGTGACATAACCCCTAGAGTACGGTGACATAAACCCTAGAGTACGGTGACATAACCCCTAGAGTACGGTGTCAAAATCCACTGAGTACAATGATATATTACTCAAGGTGTTTAAGTCATCGTGGGGGAAGTGGAGTGGAGGAAAGTGTGGAGGTGGAGTGTGGGTCATGGAAGGACATGGAGGAGGTGGAGTGAGGGTTATGGAAGGGGTGTGGAGTGAGGTGGAGTTGTGTGTGGCAGTGACTGTTATCCTTGGGTCGTGACGTCAGATGTCAGCGAAGACGTTGAGTAGGTTATAGTATGTTGTTATGGTGTGTGTGTGTGTGTGTGTGTGTGTGTGTGTGTGTGTACGAATCTCTCTCTCTCTCTCTCTCTCTCTCACTAAGACTGAATCTGAGGAATCACCGTCCTGAGCCCTGGGATCTTACATAGGTGAGTAATGGAGCAGGAGGCCAGTGTATCTGGAGAGGTGGGCAGCTGGGTGTGGCGAGGTGGGTGGGTGGGTGGCTGGAGTGGGTGGAGAGGTGTCTTGTGGTGTTGGGTGGTGAAGTGGATTGGTGGAGTGGGAGGGTGGGTGGTGAGGTGGGTGGGTGGCTGGGTGGTGAGGTGTGTGTGAGGTTAGTGGGATGGTGAAGTGGGTGGATGGGATGCTAGGGTGGGTGGTGAGGCGGGTGGTAAGGCGGATTATTGGGTGGGTTATTAGGTGGGGTATATAGATGGGAAGCAAATGTAATGGGTGGGTGGGTGGGTGGCAAAGTGGGTTGGGTGTGCGGGTGGGTGTGGGTGGGTGGGCGGCAAAGTGGGTGGGTGTGTGGGTGGGCTGAAAAAGATAATACCATCATACATACACATTTATTCACCCTTGTTCACAATTACTGAAATATACCAATAATTTTATACGGGTTGAAAAAAAATATATAAATTCCTTATCTAAAAACGAAATATCCTGATGTAAATTGTTTCAGAGAATTAAAAGTCATATATTCTGCGATAATCAGATAGGCTTTATGCATGAGTGATATCAAGAGATGTTATTAGCGTTTATTTCAGTTATTTCAGTGGTAATTAATAAAGGGGTGTAATTAGCATGATGATGGTGGTGGTGATGGTGGTGGTGATGGTGGTGGAGGCTGACTCAAGTGGACGTCTGGATATATTTAACTCTCTCTCTCTCTCTCTCTCTCTCTCTCTCTCTCTCTCTCTCTCTCTCTCTCTCTCTCTCTCTCTCTCTTCTTCTTCTTCTTTCTTTGTCTTTTTTCTTCTCTTATCGTCTTTCTTTTATCATCCCTTTATTACCGATGTCATCAAAGGTCAGGCTAGAGACGCGTTCATATCTGGTGAAACACTCCACCAAAACACACAATTCACACACCAACATTCACACACCAACATTCACACACCAATACGCCATAACATTTCTTGCTTCGTAACTTTAACAAAAAACAAAATACATTTAGAATGAGCCATCAAAACCACACACACCCACACATACAGACAAACCCTCAGTAATACACACACCTCGTCATGAAAAAAAAAAATAATTTATATACTATGATAAACTCTATTACCTCAATGTTATCACTAGTTATCTTCACTTCAACAACTACAATGATTATTTTAAAGATAACATTTAATAGCCATGTTCTTAGATACGTGTGAATATAACAATTTAAACTCTTAGCATTAGGATTTTCAATAGTTGGCCTTATATTTCACTGTTATCTTTCCCTACAGGTTCAACACATTACCTAGTAGACGTCAATGGTAAAACTGAAGTAATTTCTGTTAACATTTCCAAAGCACGAGAAAAATTTTAGCTTCGATCCTTCTTAGAAAATTGCTTCCCTGACCTTTCCGCTTCCGTCCCCTTGATGTCTTCTTTCTGGATGATGGCTGAGTGTGTGTAGGTGTGGGTGGATGATGGCTGAGTGTGTGTAGGTGTAGTGGATGATGGCTGAGTGTGTGTAGGTGTAGTGGATGATGGCTGAGTGTGTGTAGGTGTGGGTGGATGATGGCTGAGTGTGTGTAGGTGTAGTGGATGATGGCTGAGTGTGTGTAGGTGTAGTTGATGATGGCTGAGTGTGTGTAGGTGTGGGTGGATGATGGCTGAGTGTGTGTGTAGGTGTGGGTAGGCGATGGCTGAGTGTGTAGATGTGGTGTACAATATCTGAGTGTGTGTAAGTGTAGTAGACAGGAATATATTACCACTAAATCAAAATATATAATACTTATAATCATCGTCATATTATATTATTTTCACACCATAGTCACCTGCACAATCAAACACTAATCAGATCTCAGGTGTCAATCTTACCTCAACTCTACCTAAGACAATGTTATATCTTTAGCTATGATAACTTCAAAGAAACTTGACCTTATATTCAACCAATCTATATTTCATTGACCCATAACTGGTAACTATTTTTTTATGTTAATGTTAAGTTATAATGATGGAAAAAGCCATTAACAGATTAAATCGAGTGGGAAATAAACTTAGACTTTACTCACCTGTCCAAAGGTTCTAACTAAATGATTTTCTTTGTACTGCAGGTGAACACAGACAAGACGAGACGATACCTTGAGGACTCTTAAGAAATGTTCTACGTTAAGGTAAGATGTAAGGCGATTTTTTATGGGGGGGGGGGTCACCTGAAAATTAGTGACCCCAATTAATTTCACCTTAAGATTAATTACCTTAACCTAACCTAACCACATGCCTATTTATCGTCTTATCCTGTAAATCCTGAAGACGCACAACCATCCCAAAGATAAGAAAGATAAGCAGGTGGAAGTGTAGCTAATTATCCCACCTGGGGGTTATCTTTGGTTCAGGTGATATGAGAGGAGGGGGGAGGTAATTCATGATTTCCCAACTTTACCTGTGTTTCTTCGTGTTGTATTCCAGGTGATGCTTTTTAATCTTTCTTAATTTCAGGACAGATGGGTTTAGGCTTTGGGGTGGTAGGTTAGGTTGTGCGAAGAAGTAGTTAGGTTAGGTTTAGGTTTAGGTTAGGTTAGGTTAGGTTAGGTTAGGTTAGGTTAGGTTAGGTTAGGTTATGGTGGTGTGTGTTATGGTGTATGGCGTTATGGCGCACTTAAGGCAGATTGGATGTAATGGTATCTTATTTTTTTCTTTACTTATACCTCATCCAATTCCATCCATCTTTCCATATATCCATCTGTTCCTCAAACCAACTCATTCATCCGTCCCCCTCAATCAAATATCCACTCCCTTACCTATCCATCTATCCCTCCATCCATTTAGCCATTCATCCTTCAATCCATCCGTCCATCCATCCAGTTAGCTATCCATCCATCCATCCTCATACCCACCCAACATCCACTCACTCATTCTCTTACTCATCCTTCCATCCATCCATCCATCCATCCATCCATCCATCCATCCATCCATCCATCCATCCATCCATTCATCCACCCATCCCATTAAGGAGAAGTACCACGAAATAGGTCCCAGAGCCTTCAGTATCAAGGACAGATATCGCAAAAAACTTCTTCACGTGAGAAAAATTGTGTCAGTGAGTAAACCAGATCAAGAGAAATGAGAGATGAAAGAAAGTAAAAAAAAACTTCTTCACGTGAGAAAAATTGTGTCAGTGAGTAAACCAGATCAAGAGAAATGAGAGATGAAAGAAAGTAAAAGTTACTCTCCAAACTTTCTTTTTTTCTCTCTCTCTAGCTTTCATTCTCTCTCTGTAGCTTCTAATCTCTCTCTCTCTCTCTCTCTCTCTCTCACAGTCACCCAGCAGGGAGAGAGTTAGGTGAAAGTTTGAAATCGTGTATTGCTTTCTCAGATAACTTTCCCTTCAAACTATCACTGATTTTCGCTTGTATTAGAGACGAAAAAAAAGTATATATAATGTTTTATCTTGTGTATATATATATATATATTTTCATCCCCCAAAAGTATAAATTAGTTACGTTAGTGGATTTGATGATTTTATATAGATATGAATGTGTTGATATGCGTTTATTATACTGAGTTATGATTTACGATATATGAGGTTGAGAAGACTGTTAGTAATGTCCCTCTGCATTTACCAGTATTTCTATGTGCACCATCACTCTCCTCCACACACACACACACGCTTGACGCCACCACCATCCCTCCAAGTACTCGAGGTGTAGCGGTCGGTGTCGGGAAGGTGTAGATACACTATCATACCCACGTCACACTGACCTTACCTCTCATTTGTCGCTTTTGAGAGCAGCAGCCCAGAGTACACTCACTACACTGTGTAGAGTATACTGTTCTTGGTATACCTGTGTCATGTTATACGCTACACTCTTGCTACTTACACCCTGACACCTTGTTTACGCGTTCCTGATGTACTGTAAACATTATACTTGGTCTACACTTGTATAGGCCTGTATATTTATGCCATTATATACACATTATCCTTATACGTCTCTCTCTCTCTCTCTCTCTCTCTCTCTCTCTCTCTTCTTCATTCTCGCCCTCTCCCTCTCTTCCCTTTCGTCAAAATTCCATTATCGTCGTCTTCCCCTCGCCTGGGGTCGAACCCTCGCTCTGCATATCCGACTCGAGAACAACCAATCACCCACGTGTAAACTCTACCGATAGTTCCCCTCACTTATGGGGAGGGGAGAAGAGGGGAGAGAAAGACGAGGGGTGGAGAGAGAGGGAGGGAGGGAGGGAGGGAGGGTAAGGAAAGGGAGAGAGTCAGTAAAGGAAGGAGGGGGAGCAGGAAGAGGAGGAGAGAGGAGGTATTCTGTACACTCAATAATAACAGAACCTTAACTTAAACTCCCACCTCTACCTCTACCTCTACCTGTTTGTCTCCAGGTGAGGGCAGGAGGACGTAGCCCCTTCTCGAGTATCACAGGTAAATTTTTCATCGTCCCTCCCTCAAGGAGTCTCTTAATATTTAAGTGAGAAGGGAGGCAGAGGGATATTTTTTTTTAGGGGAGGGGAAGAGCTAGGGGGGAGGGTGAGGCTAGGGGAGAGAGGTGAGCTAGGGGAGAGAGGTGGGAGTAGAGGGGGAGGCTATAGGAGGAGGAAAGGGCGGTGGAAGGTGAGGAGGGAATGAGGTGGAGTGGGGGGGTGGACCAAGGAGAGGGGAGAGAAGAGAGGGAGGAAGAGTGGGCCGTCAGATGAGAAAGTGAGAGGAGGAGGAGAAATGCAGCGGACAGAGAGAGAAAGAGGGAGGCTGTGTGTACAAAGCGATAGGCTGAATAATAAGGTGAGAGAGAGAGAGAGAGAGAGAGAGAGACTTATTGACCTACGTAGGGGAGAAAATAACTGCAAGTGGAGATGGGGAGTAGGAGGGAGGGAGGAGGATGGTGGGAGGGAGGATCGTAGGGGAGGTGGGGGTTTGGGGAGAAGGGAGAGGGAGAGAATTAGGTGAAGGAGGGGGAGAGAAGGGAAAGGAGAGGAGGGGTAGAGAAGGGAGAAGAGGATCAGTTTGTTTTGATTGTCAGGTTTGTGTCGAGGAGGAGGATGACTTGCAGAAAAAGTCTAAAGGAGTAAACTAGATAATTACTCTCGCCCTTAATGACCATAATGTAGTGTTAGCCCCATTGTTCGTCGCCCATAATGCTATCTCTGTTGTAGATAGATAGATAGATAGATAGATAGATAGACTACACTTGTCTTCCACACGAGGGACAGGTGTACTGGCAATACACTCGCCTTTCATGTATGTGACTCTGGATCGATCCCACTTTGGCTCACTGTCTGTTTATGAATACAAATCTATCTATATTTGTGTGTGTTTGTTGTGTGTGTGTGTGTGTGTGTGTGTGTGCAGTTACCTCTATGTTTAACCATTCGTCTCTCTCTAAGGGTCTAAGTGGGGCCCCCGCAAAACCCCTGCGTCACTAAGGCGATACTTTGTTTACACCGCCATATTGGATTTCAAGCCTCGAATGCCAGGGTTCAAAGTAGAATGTTTTATGGACACTGTAGTCATTAGTTACTAGGGTAATAAAGATATTTCACTCTTAGATGGAATTTTGTGGATTTCTGGTCGATTTGAAGCGAGTTTTACCAAGATAGGTTAGGTTGAAAGCAGCTGTAAAACAAGATGGGATACTACCCCTGTGGTACCCTGCCAACTATAATAATTGAATAAACTTGTACAAATAATATAACAAACTCTAACTATTATCTCTCGTTATCTTGTTATCGAGGGCGAGGGACTTTTGATACAGCCTTATGTTGGCTATATAAACAAAAAGTTTATCAAGAAAAAGTAAAGATAAAGGTAAAAGTATTCAAGGCAAAAAATGTTGGGTGAGTCAGAAAGTTTGGGAGGTAAGGTGTTGTTTTTGTCAGCGAGGTTCTCTTATAACTTTGGCGTTGGGTAAATATATTGTATATTACGTAAAAGGATGACGGGGTTGTGGGGAGAGAGAGAAAGATATCCCCCTCCCAAACAAACACACGTCCCCCCACGTCCTTATCCACACTGAACCCTTAAAATATCCACTCAACATATCCACACACCCAGTGAATTGATCCATCATCAGGACATCACACAAATTGAAAAACACCAAACAGAAAAAAAAAAACCTGAATAGCCATTGTAGCTCAGGGCTCCCCAGGTGTCCTCACAACAATTAACTGGAAATTCACCAAATTGTTTTTGTTTATAAACTGTTCAACAAAAGCCAGGATTGTTTACATCATTTTAATAGATTTTGATGTATTGTTTTTCTCGTTATTATTATTGGAACGATTGTTTGCCTGTGTAGATGTAAGGGCAGGTTGTTTACTGTTTGTTTTGGTCCTGTATGGTCGCCCTGACGTATCTACAAAAGCAAACAATAAGTGAATAAACCTAACCTAACCTAACCTAACCTAACCTAACCTAACCTAACCTAACCTAACCTAACCTTATTTATGCTAGTCTAATCTAACCCTAATACAGCTGTTATTGTTGTTATTGTTATTGTTGCTGCTGTTATTATCTCTGTTATTGTTGTTATTATTTAACAATGTATTTTCATTTATTGTTGTTTTATTATTGTATTATTGTTGTTATTGTTATTGTTGCTGCTGTTATTATCTCTGTTATTGTTGTTATTATTGGTGTTGTTGCTGCTGTTATTATCTCTGTTATTGTTGTTATTATTGGTGTTGTTACTGTTAATATTGTTGTTTTCACTGCTACTGTTGTTATTATTGTTATTATTGGTGTTGTTGCTGTTGTAGTATCGCTGTTATTGTTATTGTCACCATCCCCGTCACTGAAACACATCATCACTATACCGTAGACTACATGTACTTTATGCTGGGGGGAGGGAAGACACAGTTACTTCCTCGACCGGTTTGGGTAGTGTATGATCCTTGCTTATAAAGGTTACCGGTACAACTGGTTCCTGTGGTGACTTGGGGCTGACACTGCATGATTCTTAGGATGACGTTGGTTCGAATCTTAGTCTGTCTATATATCTGTCTGTCTGTCTCTCTCTCGATACTATCACCATCCCTACCACTACCACCATCACCACCACCCCCCAACATTGTTTCTGACAACTTACCACGTCTAATTAATAACCCCCCAATTCTCCCATAACCTCTAATCATAACACAGTTCACTACGTCACTTTTTATTCTCGGTTTTTTG